TTTAACGTCACTGAGCATGTCGGTTCATAGTGCAGCATGTCGTGTAAATGAAAGCAACGGCTCTTAAATGGATGATGAGAAAGCCTGTCAACCCCCATGCACTCGCGCTGAGAGAGAAGCACGCAAGGAACCGTTTGCCGATTCATTTGCAAAAAAAAACCTTGCCCTGAACTGTACCGCAACAACGAGAAGGGACGTGGAGCTCACCACAGCGAGAAATCTTTACGGAAGAAATCCAATACAACAAATCCGAAGTGCGGATGCAATATTAATGGACTGAGACTCCGCAAGACACCCTGCAATGAGCCACCCTGCTATGTAGCTTACAACCTGTTCATTATTGCTTTATTTTTAGAAGCAATTCAGAAAGTGACAGTATTGCAGCTGAACCTTCAAGCTGTCCCATTGAGTGCCACTACTGGTCAAGGAGCAGCCAATCTGAGGTGCTCTCGTTTAAACCCAACCCCGCTCAATGAGCCAAAACCCCTGTAGAGAGGAACTCAAAAGGGATGGAAAGGCAAATGTGAAATGTTGCTATTCGGCGTGGCAATGAAGCCTAGGGCCTGGCGTGCACGTGCCACCACCACCGGAGCGGCAGGTCACAAACAGTGGACAGCAACCACCCCGCGCCGCGTCTGCTGGGTGATGCTGCCTCTGCTGTGGACGTGGTTGCGCCACACTGCCAAAGGCTCAAGAATGTAGTAGCGCAGTAAACGGATGCAGTGTGCAAATAGAGAAGTCACACTATCGGGGTTAATAATAAACAAAAAATAAAATTTGCAAAAGTTTTTTTTCGGAGTTCAAAGGGCGCTTGGTGATAAAAGATAGCCATTCATACGATCCCCCATGCACAATAAACCCAATCCCTCTTTGTTTAAGAATCGGCTTTACTTAAATGGTCATGCTCAGTCAACCTTTGGTTCAAGGTACAGCAGTTTCGGTCTGAGAGAGCATTGTGCTGTTTTATCGGCATCCGTAACTATTTTTGTCAACTTTAGACCGATTACTAAGTGTGACTGGAACAAGCGGCAACGATGGCCTCGTGAAAATAATCCATTAATCTATCCACGAGTCGATGAATCAAATTCAAATATCACGCAACGTTCGTATGATTTGAATAAAGGATCACTTTTTGTACGCACGAGGCTCAAAGCGCGAGTTGTCGCTGCGCCCGACCTGGGGTCGAGGTGTCGTCGTCGTCACGAATCGTCGTCCCTTCGAGGGAGTGGCAGCCGAGAAACAGAACGTGACCGCAAGGGCGTCGAACCGAGGAGATGGAGCGATGCAATCAGCGGAGCCCCCCTTCCCTCGCCCGGCTCCCCCCTACAGACCCCCTTTGTCTCCCCAATGCGATGCCTAAACACTTTCCGTCGTGCCCCAGCCACGGCCAGGCCTAACTCGACCCCTCCTCCTCACCACTCGCTCCTGTTCTGTCGTCACTATAATTACACCACCACTTGTAATAATAACAACGCAGTTGTTCATCTCAAACCACCATCATCTGAAGAAAAATGTATATTCGCAGCAAAGTGCCTTGGAAAATGCGCTATGTAAATGTCGTCAAGATCGGTGCTGGGTGGATTGATACATCACAGGATTGCAAAATGTGGCGGCAGCTTGCGGAGGCCTTCATCCTCCAGCAGTGGATTGACCACGGTGTATTAACCACTCTTGTAATATATCAGTTGCTACCATGCAGTGCACTTCAATTACTACTTACAAAGTGGAGTGTTTATTTTTGAGCTGTTACAAACAGAATGGAAAATTATCAAAGTAAAACATTTGATTTACAAAACTCACCTAAAAATCATTCATCACCATGGCAATGATATCTACCAATACTTAATGTGAATACCTTACAAACATTTGCGTGAAACTATTAAAGAGAGTAGGGCAGTACATTACAACTAGGGGTATAATGTTAAATCAATTAATTTAAATTCTTAAGCTCACGTTACAGGCATCAAATTCCCTGTGTAAGGATCGATATTTTGCGATGTGTACGTCGCATAACATGGTCTCAATGTATTGCTACAGCCACGACTGGGCTGCTACATTCCCCGCAATGTTAAGCAAAGAACCGATGCTTGATTTGAATCGTAAGCCCGATCAATCACAACAATTCATCGATTCACTGGGAAGAATGAAGATGGGCAGCTACACTTATAATTAGAGTGATGCTGTACCTCTAAACACACTGTGACACGCAACAGAGGCCATGGGAATTCTACCCACTGCATATGAAGCTCCACATTGCGCGTGCGGTGCTGCAGTGCCAAACACATTTATCTTGAAGATTAATTTTCGCCTGTTCAAATTCAAGACCACCCCCGGTATTGCGTGCCTACACACATTGCCAAGAAGTGCGTGTTGCCTTGCAGACACCAAAGGCTCCATGAATCTAATCGCAGGCCGTTGTGATAAATGTCAACGGACAAATGAAGCGTATAATACCTGAAACTATAAAAAAATAAAAATAGTACACTTCATGGTGAGTTTTTGGGAATTTTCTTTCGACTTTAGGCTAGCCGCTGAATTTCCTCAAAAGTGGAAAACATTAAAATATAATATGAAACTGAAACATTATATATTATTGGTAAAACAATTATGTCAATTGCAGTCCCATCTCTCACACACAAATTGCATTCTTGCTTAATAAACTGTAACATCAACGACCCGCAGATGTTGTTGCTGTCAAGCGAGAGCAAATTAAAGAGACGTGAAAATATCTTTCGCTCAATCTTGTTAATGTGGTGGTCGCATTAACGATGAATTCCAGCGTTTAAGTTTTTTACGCCCCAACAACTCCTCAGGGCAGCGGGCACCCCGACGCACTGCGGCCGCTGCGTCCCATGCAGAAAGTGCCCCCCCAGTGTCTGTTCACTGATGGGGAACGCCTCGCAGAGCCTATGTTCCCGAACATTTCGGTCGTGAACGCTCCCGGACCTGTGCCGTCATTGGAGTGCAAGGATACGGAGATCGCCAAGAGGCTGGCCGAGAGGCTCCACCCCATATCGCCTGAACAGATTGTCGGGGCAAGTACTGTTAGTGAGCAGCACCGATGAAGGCCGGCACAGCACACGAGGGGGTGGTTGGCCAGCATCGCGCCTGGCTGCCTTTGTCTCCATAGTGGCAATGGTTCACACACCCGACTAAGTACTCATTTGAGGCCGAGTCGGCCTAGGGGAGGCCTAGGATCAATTCAGATAATCGTCACTGGTGTTGGCCGTGAGCAGGAATCGAACCCATGTCGCCGGATTCATAGCGCAGCGCGCTAACCGCTACACGATTGTTCCCCATACAAGACAAAGACACACACAGACACACACACAGACATACACACAGACAGGCTCTTGTTTGGCAAAGCTTACCCTGTCGAGGTTCAGCGTGCCACAGAAGTGTGGCAGGAGCGATAAAGTGATTCACGGGAGGGTGGTCTCAGCAAGGTGGCATAAAGGCAAATTGCCTGGGCAAATGAGGGCATTCGTACTCCGGGCCGGCTGCGTCCTATTCATGTGAGCAGCGCTCCCTGGGGAAGAGCGTCGCGCTCCGACTGCCACTCATTCATTGGTACCATTGGAGTCTGTTTATGAACATTATATTTACACACGCAACACACGCGCACACACACGCACGTGTAGTGCTGCATGCATTCAACAAATACCGTCATACACAACGACTGCACTACTCTAAAAGGTGAAGTGAAGATTTCTGTGCATGTAAAAAATTCCGTTTAAGGCCATTACCATACATTTTTACATTTATCTTCTGAGAGAGATCACATTACAGAAATGCAATATACTGTACTGTATAGGGGAAAGGATTTTCAATTAGTATTATCTTCACAAAGAGATTACGCTCAGTGCGATCATTATATCCGTAGCCCGAGAATAATTTTTAATGATCGCACTTGTACCTGTCACCAGAATCTGTACATGTACAGCCGTTTTTTGTCAATCGACCGCTAGATGAGGGCCACCCCATGAAACGCAGCTCGCGGGGACTATTTGACCATACTTCACCACGCTGGTCAGCGCGGGTTGGCGAAGGCGATAGAGCACAGACGTCAAAATAAATGGAACGAGGGCCGTGGCCCTCACCACCGCTATCAATGTGTGCATGTTGAACTTCTTTCACACCATGCATAGCCAACAGTGCTCATCAAAGGTGTGGGGGAAGGACAATAAACTCAACACAATAAGCAGTTTTCAAGAAATTAGTTTTCAATCTCGATGATTTAAAAGTGCACAGCTCCAGTGGCTTCCTAATATCAGAAGGAAGAGCGTTCCAGACGGCCGCAGAAGCGCGTCTGAAAGCTCGCAATGCGGTGACCGTCTTTGTTCAATGGCCGGTCCAAAGCTGCTGCTGCTGCTGTGAGGATGACCATCACCGGAGTGATGCCCTATGTTCCTTGATGAGATCAGCAAGGTATTGTGGTTCCTTTGTGGCAAGCACTTTGTGTGTAATGAGTGCGACCTCAATAACGTCAGACATGGAGAAAAAATACACAAGCAATGTGAATGTGCTTCTATAACGATTGTGCATCCTCTACATACAACATGAAACAAAGAGCTACGTGACGAAGGGTAACAGTGTCGATAGAGAAACACGAATGTTTACTATTTTTCATGGTATGGCCATATTACTCGATAATCAAACCTAGCCAAAATCCATCTTGCAGAGAATCGATGATGAGAATAGTTGATTAAGTGAGAGGTGGGTTGATATCATCAGAGAATGGACCGGATTAACCGATGAAAATCTGTTCACCGTTACCAAGGACAGCACAGGATGGAAGGAGATTACATCAGAGGCATCTAAGAAACGCCCCGGCGATCGTTAGGGTCACCAGATAGAAGACTTCGACCTAGACGCTCACGCACATAAAATTAGGAAATGGCTTTTCACAAAGCACATGCGCCAAGCCGAGCCAACGAATCTCACAGCTTGCGCAGAAGTCGTCGATGTTCTGAGTCGGCTGCGTGGAGGACGAGACGTACCTGTTTCAGGATGAATGTTGAAGACGCCAAGGCCGGAGCCGTTTCGGATGGAGTAGCGCACCTCCCCGTTCATCCCCTCGTCCTCGTCCGTGGCTTCGACGGTCAACACGTGACTGCCGACAGGCGCGTCCTCTGGCACGGCGCAATCGGCCACGAATCTGGAGAAGAGGGGCGCGTGCTCGTTCTCGTCCACGTCCACCACTTCCACCTCCACCTGGCAGCTGGACGAGAGGGGCGCCGACGCGTCGCGGTCGCGCAGGCGCAGCGTCAGGTTGTAGAACTGCCGCGTCTCGAAATCAAGCCGCCGCGCCAGCCGCAGGGCGCCGCTCGTCCTGTCCACCTCGAACGTGCGCTCGCCGCCGTCGTCATCGTCTTCCCGCAGGGAGAAGCGCACCTGCCCTCCCGGCCCCAGGTCGGGGTCGTGCGCGTCCAGCCAGCCGAGGAGCGCCCCCACGGGAACGTCCTCCAGCACGCGGAAGCGGAAGGTCGGCGGCACGCACGCGGGGGGGTTGTCGTTGACGTCGTCCACCTTGACGATCACCGTGGCGACGGAGGAGCGCCGCCTCTCCGTCCGGGCCTGGTCCAGCGCCTCCACGAGCAGCGTGTGCTCGGGCCGCCTCTCGCGGTCGAGCACGGCCGACAGCTCCAGCACGCCCGTTTCGCCGTCGACGCGGAACTTGTCGGTGTCGGACAGCAGGCGGTAGCGCACGGCGCCATTGTCGCCCTCGTCCCTGTCCACGGCTTCCAGCTGAAGCACTTTGCGTCCCGGTTGAGCGCTCTCAGACACGTTCACCAGGTACGTCCTCTTTGAGAACTCTGGCCGGTTGTCGTTGGCGTCGAGGACGACAATTTTGAGGCTCGTGCTAGCGGCCCGCTGGGGTATGCCCAGGTCGTAAGCGGTGATGTTCAGAAGGTGGGAGTCTACAGCCTCGCGGTCCAATGGTAACAAAACACTCAAGACGCCCGTCTCGGTGTCAATGACAAAGTTGCTCAGATCGTTCCCACCCGACAGAGCGTAGACCAGCTTTCCATTGAAGCCACTGTCCAAATCCTTAGCCTCTATTTGCATAACTTCTGCACCGATGGGCAAGTCCTCGCGTACCTCGACAGCGGCTGTCCGAGAAGCATCAAATGCCGGAGAGTGCAGATTTACGTTGTGAGTGTCGGTGAAGGAATCATCCGAGCGTAGTTTATCTCGCAGTTTGCCCGCCTGGTGGAGCCTCTCGGCCAGCCTCTTGGCGATCCCCGTATCCTTGCACTCCAACGACGGCACGGCTCCGGGAGCGTTCACGACCGAGATGTTTAGGAACATAGGCTCTGCGAAGCGTTCCCCGTCAGTGGCCGTGACCTTGAGGCGGTAAGCCCCCGATCCGATCGGAATGTCGGTGAGAGCGCGTTTCAACGTCAAGACGCCGGAGTCCGCGTGGAGGTGAAACAAGTCCTGCTCGTTTCCCGACACGAACTCGTAGCGCACCAGCTGAAGCTCGTCCATGTCGATCGCCGACACGGTGGCGATCTGCTCTCCCAGCCGCACGTCGCGGGGAAGCGTGCCCACGCAGTCCACCTTCTCGAAGATGGGCGCGTTGTCGTTCAGGTTCGTCACGGAGACCGTCACGATCGCTTCCGCCTCCCGACGGTAAGGAGTCCCCCAGTCCGAGGCGCGCACGCGCAGCGAGTAGACCTGGCTCATCAGCTCGTAGTCCACCGGGCCCGCCGTGCTGATGTTGCCCGAGTAAGGGTGTACGCTGAATGGGACGGGAATGACGTTGGCTATGCTGTACGTCACGTAGCCGTTCTCCCCCTTGTCCCTGTCTGTGGCATGCACGCTGAGGACGAAGGTGCCCACCGGAATGTTCTCGCTCAAGACGGCGCTGTAGGCGGGCCGATCGAACACCGGGGCTTTGTCGTTGGTGTCCGTGATGTTGATTATAACCTTGGTCACGCCCGAGCCGACGTCGGTTCCAATATCCAATTCAAAATGGTCTTTTTCCACCACCGCTATAGATTTGTCGATGGCGATAAGTCCTGTGGTGGGATTTATGTTAAAAAAGCCGCTGTCTGCACCGCTTTGGATGACGTATTTAAAACGCTCCGCGCTGGAAGAGGCTTTGACCATGAGGACGGCGGCCTGGGGAGGATAGCAGCGCTTGATGCTGCCCCTGTAGACGCTCTGATGGAACGCGCTGACGGCACTCGTCCGAGGCCCGCGGACCGTGACCACGCGGAGAGGCGAATATTTGGGAGGCTTCCCCCTGTCTCGGGCCTGCACGGTGAGGTTCACCCCGAATGGAAAAGCCGCCCAATCCACCTCCCCCGTGAGCTTCACTCCGAAGTCCGAGCCGCCGGTGCCGCGCATCGGAGAGACCGAGAACTTCTTGAGCGGGTCGCCGGCGACGACGTCCACCGCCTCGATCTCCCCGTCGGGGCCGGCGTCGCCGTCCTCCACGGCGAGCACGGCGTACAGGGGGTCGGCGTCCGACGGCGACGGCACGAGCGCGGTGGCGGCGGCGACGAGCGGGGCGTGGGCGTTGGCTCGGCCCACGTGCACCGCGAGCCGCGCGGAGCTGCTCAGCCCCCCGCGGTCGACGGCCAGCACGTCGAGCTCGTGGCGCGCCACGTCGCCGTGCTCCGTCAGCCTCCTGGCGAGCGTCACCACGCCGCTCGTCGGGTGCACGGCAAACGCGTCGGTGCGCTGCGCGAAACTGTAGTAGAAGCGCCCGTTGGGGCCGACGTCGGCGTCCGTGGCGGTGACGCGGAGCACGCTGGTGCGCGCCGGCGTGTCGTCGCCGATGCTCGCGCTGTACGCCGTGGGCAAGAACAACGGCCTCAAGTCGTTGAGGTCAATCACTTGGACGAAGACCCTGACGAACGCCTCCGCGTGCCCGTTCTTGACGGCCGCCTTCACCGTCAGCGTGTATCGGTCGCGCACCTCGCGGTTCAACGTCGCGCTGTTCCCGCCCTTGGTCCTGACACGCAGGAAGCAAAAGTCGCCCACGACGAGCTCCTCGGCCTTGAATACGTTCTCCTCGTCCCCGGACACGATCTTGTACTTGACTTCGACGGCCGGGCCGGCGACGAAGATCCCCATCTTGTGGTGACTCTGCACGTACGTCCTGGCGGCGGAGTTTTCGTAGACGGTGGCGTTGTAGGCCGAGTCGGTGAAGCGGAAGGGGGGCTCCGGGCGGTCGCGTTGTCCGTGCAGGCCTCTCGCGCACAGCAGCGGCAGGAGCACCAACGCCGCGAGCGCAGGCTGCCGCGACATCTCCGCGGCCATCGTGTCAGATGTCCGCTTTGCACCTGAGAGGCACGCACACACGCAAGCGCACACACGCACGCACGCAGGCACACACACACAGAGATGGGTGCGTCAACCTTCGTGAAGGAAACGGCCAACGTCTCAATACCTCCGCGAACGGTCGGCTATGTACGGTGTGGAACAAGTTCAACATACGTACATACAAGCCCGTACATCATCATCATCTCATATTAGCTAGCTTTAAATCGCACGTTTTACTTTTTACTCGCACAGTTTAATTCAGTTATTAACTATTTAATATAATATAAAATGTTAGCCCACATTTGTTACCCGATGACAACGATAATGCAATAATACAAATTATCCACTTAAATGTCTTGCGTGAAATAGTTTAGCGGTTTTATAATGCGTGCACATGCCCTTTCATGCCAGACCTCGGAGTGCCCTAAAATGTAGCTCCATTTGACCTGCCCCATCTGTCAATTACAGACAAGTGCCAGCCCATTTTGTCATCGTCATAAACCAGGAGCGGCAGCAGCATCAGCATCTTTTTTCCAAGAAAGCCTTTCCAAAACTCACGGGAATAAACATTCCTTTAGATAAAGGGTCCCCCAATAAATACTGTTCTTAGAGAATGTGAATGTTGATTACGTGTGTAACCCACCCCCCACCAAAACCCGCACTTGGGATTTTACTGCGAGCACGACAATCCCTGGGGCCCCTGATTTCCACACTGGCGACACACTCCCAATATCATTGGGCCAGTTGCTAGGCAATGGCCATTACCCCGATAGGTAATTCAATGGCCGTTGCCAAGCAACTGGACTAATGACCACCTGGTTACCACTCGCGTTACATGTGCAGAATAGGACACAATTACTCGGTTACAGCATGCCGTTCACGTGTGCGCTTCCAATCGTATTCCAGTCCCGTTGTTCTAGTTCGGAGGGCCCCGCGGAATGTCCTCACGTGAAACGGTTAAAATCTAAATCCTCGCTTGTTACATTGTTTAAAAGGTGGGCAGGTTCCAGTGATACGCTTGAGGCTGCAACATTTTTGCACGCCTCGGATTCAGCCTCGTGGGAGCTCATTAACACGTTGCACATGTCACCCCAACTGTCAAAGTGTGCAACAAAACACAAACTTCTTACGGTTGAAGCACCTATGATAAAATAAAACCTTGTCAGTCTTCATTAGCAATAAATCGTAGGCAATCAAAAATATTTATATAATGAATGTATCCCCAACCCCTAGAGATAGAACATAATTTACACTTGCATGTGTTTAAGCTTCTCGAATGAATAGGTGGGTGAATGTTTTCAAGCAAATTACAGCACAAGTGTATTTAGTCACGATCAGAGTCTCTTCCCTTCACAGCACCGTCGCCTATCGTGACAAATTAATTTAGTTTTGCTTCGGTTTCACTGAAAGTTTTGACGTTATTGCTCGGAGTGGACTAAGTGGTTTCACTCTGTTCTACCCAACGTAAATGGTTTAATTACCAATCAATATCCTTGGATGGACTAGAAACAACATCATCGATAACCCATTTAAAACAAAAAGGCCAACAATTTCCCGACAGCAGTCATCTCTGCTCGTGTTCCTGGACCAGTGGTGGACATTCATCATTTCCCCGGTATGGTCAAGTTTATGCGCACTGTATGTTATAAAGAAACGCGACTGGATGCTGTTGATTTCCCATGACGGAGGATAGATTAAGTGCCCAGTCAACCCCCACCAGGACTTCAACCCGCGACTTCTCATTGTGAATCAAGCGCTCGCTTGACCACAGCATTAGCCGACTCGAAAAAACTAATATTTCAAAATGATTTTATTTCTCTTCCAATGAGCAAAACCAGAAATACTTTTTCAGCTACCCTTGATTGTTTCATCTTTCCCTCACCCCGGTCCAGTCTAAAATGAAAAAGTGAAATCGTGGTAAAGCTCTCCGGCGCAGTCATCAGTGACTGGTCAGCAACCATGCAACTCTCTCCAGACCAAGCAACGTCGCTCGTTTTCTGCCTGTCAGCCCCAAGGCCTCAATCCAACATCTCCGAGGTGCTGGCTCAGAATGCTGTCACACTCTATTAGAGGCCAGTCACCCAGATAACATACCTTTCTTGCATTTGAGCAACCTGAAGATTAGCCCTCAATGTGTGAACGCGTTTTTACATCACACCTTGCTGGGGGAAAGGGGGGAGATTAAACCAAGGACGTGCATGGCACTCTTCTTAGTAACATTAGCCAACTGGCTGCAAGCAAACGCTTTCCGAACAGATCACAAAAGTTGACTTTCCAGACCAATGTACCACTGCACGCCCCCGAGGCAGAATACCCAAATAATAGGTTTAATTACAATGAGTAGATGAAGCAAGACGTGCAGACACGCACTCGATGATAATGATACACAAACCTTCAACTCCATTCCGAGCTGACGGTACACGCCTGACGTGGAAGATTGCAATGGCCAATTCCTTGGGGACACAATTGGGCTAACAAATAGAAAACGCAGAAATATCCGACTTGAAAGTAGCAGACAACTGTATTGCAGTTTAACACACGGCATGGTGAATCTCAAAGCTCTAAGTGTAATGTAAGTCATGCAATTAATTTCAATGATGTGGACATTACAAATAAAAAAAGGCACCATCTCTAACGTTAAATGAACATTGACCAGTTCTAATAATTTCCAACAGTCGACCCTAAGCCATTGGTGTAAACTCCACATTACTATGGCGGAGACCAGTCTCTCAATAGAATAGCTACTGTTGTCTTCCCACAGAGCAGTGATAAACCACACACCAAGCAGTGAACGTTTTGTCAACGTTGCCAGCAGGATTATGGGTTGAGTTGACCCTGGCCTGGATATGAAATCAAAATCTTGACAAATGGCAGGCTTCTTGCTCTCCCAGCCAAGCTTTATCCTGGCCACATATTGGAAGATGTTGCCACATCCTAACACTTACAGCAGCAAGATTCAAGCAGTAGAAGAGACAAAGCAATAACTTATAGTTAATACATGTGCTGGTTTGCATAGGATTGGAAATGTCTGTAAATAATAAGAAATCGGTGTGCCAACACAGATAAAGGCATTACACTAATTAGTTGGGCAGACAGTTACAAATTGTGCAGGCAAATGTAAATGTGGTAATAAGGAATAATATAAATCAGATGCCTCAACAAAACTGTTTTATAGAAGGATTCTATTAAAATTGTGGGATTACGCTTCCAACAATGAGTTGGATGATAATGATTTGACTGTGATGGACCTGTATCTAGCATTTGTATGGAGGATACCCAGTGTCACTATAGCTAGACCTGGGTTAGGCTACAGTTCAGATGGAGGTGTCGCAAAGCAGAAAGATTTAAGAAAAACCATTATGGCTCGGACTGACCTTGGCAGAGAATCTTATCGTCACTAAGATCCGCTGGTGTCCCGAGGAGGACAATTTAATGCATTTGGATTACCCGATGATTTATGATGACGATCCCTAACACCACTGATGATGAATAATGATTCTGGTTGTGATGGTGATGATGTTAGATGATGGTCAGAGTAATGACATCCCAAACACATGTCACAGTGAGCGTATCAATAATTTAGTTGCTTCCGTTATCTTTATGTTTTAACTATCTTAATGGCTTCATTATTTACCCTTCCCGAATGCAGTTTCCTACTGGTTCACATCCTCATCATTCAAATTCCACGTCTACATTTGCTGTTTAATATTCCTTTTCCTGCACAAAGCTCTGCTCCATAGATCAAGGGAGACTTAATCACTACCTTAGGGATTTACAATTTCCAAATTTCACCAACATCACATTTTTGAATTATGTCACCAATACGTAACTGTTACCTTGCTAGGACACCTATTTTACTGCAAAAACTGTGCCCCATTATTTCACCATTAAAAAAAAAATCCTAAATATGGAAATTAATGAGCCAATATTAATCCACCTTTTTTATATAAAATACCATCGATCAGATTTACACAGCAAGTCATCATACATTTTCGTTAAGCGTTTTTAAAACACTTTGGCATCATGAATGCTCTTCATTATATGCGAGTCGCAATACACAAGTATCAATATAGATATATTACGCTGCTGCTTATGATAACATTTTGCTCAATAATGTGACCAAATATTGTGTACACACACCCAGCCAGGCACAGCTGTGACAAGTGCCCGTCTCACAGTCGGAAAGTTACGGGTTGAAATCCGCATTGGGAACTAAACTGAGGTCATCACCCCTCTGGAACCAATAAATGTAGTGCCACATTGTAGGAAGTCATATGCATAGGTTGGTTCCTGCCAGAGAAATGTGTAATATCCACAAATGGCTCAGCATCGCAAGCATGATGGCATGCGTTTTAATTATAACAACATGTTTAATCCTGAATGACACAAAATACTCGCACAGCAATGCCCATCTTCACACGTACACGCACAACAGTCGCTATGACCTATTTTAGGATTATTGCCGATGATCGATTCACCAGGGGCCAGTACGCAAAAACAAATCCATTGTTGTGCTGTACTTCTAAGCTCGACGGTGCCCGCATTAACCAACACGCACTAACCAACGTGGTGACGCACGGTCGCATGACCCCACGCAACCAGCACGGCGTGGCGAGGCCTCTCGTCCACGAGTGGATTGACAAATCATGGCCGCACAAGTAATTTTTTCCTTTCACATTTTGTTTCGACCATGACACGGCAGGGCCAACAGCGATCAAACTTCCACTCTAAAACAAGCGCATTTAGCGCCTCCGTCAGTGAATGCGGTGGACATTCATTGAGCGGGCAATGAATGAGTTACCCGGCAGCACCAGTCATGCACACTGAAGCCACATTCGTTAAATCCCATCCCCCCTCTTTCACACCCGCTTAGTGCTGGACGCTAAGCGGACAATCACAGCGACTTCAAAAGCAGCGACGTTAAATCTGTCAGCCCTGGAGAGGGCGGTAGCAGGGGCCCCATTTTGCGAATGCATTACCTCATCACGCTGCCTGGAAGCGTTTTAATGACCTGTGAAGA